ACTCCCGGGCTGTGCCCAGAGCCCCCAGGATATGCCTGGAACTCCCGACATGTGCCCGGAACCCAGGATGTGCCCAGAGCCCTCGGGCTGTGCCTGGAACTCCCGGGCTGTGCCCAGAGCCCCCAGGATATGCTCGGAGCTCCCGGGTTGTGCCTGGAACTCCCGAGCTGTACCCAGAGCCCCCGGGATGTCCCTGGAGCTCTCGGGATGTGCCCGGACCTGCCGGAATGTGCCTGGAACCCAGGATGTGCCCGGAGCTCCCGGGTTGTGCCCAAAGCTGCTACGATGTGCCCAGATCCCCCACGATATGCCTGGAACTCCCGAGCTGTGCCCAGAGACCCCAGGATATGCCCGGAGCCCCCGGGACCCTCCTCATCCTCCCCTCCATCCTGCTGCAGTCCCATTCTCTCCCCGTCTCTTTTCCCCTGCCAGCACCGGCGATCGCGCAGCTCCCAGGGAATATTTCAGGCAAAAACACCTTTTTCCCCCCCTCAAAGCATGCGGCCATCAGCTGTGCCGTCTGGGTGAGCAGCAGGCTGACAGCATCCTCCCCTGGAGAAAGGGGTTGGAGGCGCATTTGTCATTTAACACTTGTCACACTTCTTACAGCTAGTGACACCTGTTCGTCCTGTTTGCCGTGTGTTTGGAATTCCAAGCACGGTGCTGTGTCCCGTGGGTGCCCAGCCCGAGGAACTGCTGGAATTGCTGTTCACTGCTGGCGTCTCACAGCCCCAAGGGCAGCAGCTCCCAGGCGTTTGTTCCAAGCCAAACCTTGAATTGCCTAAAAATTCCCTTCAGGAGCCTCAGAATGTACAGGTTTTAAATGTTAGTGATTTTGTAGCGAGCCTGAAAATTTACAAGTTTAACTACTGGTGATCTTGTATCGAGCATGAGAATTGACAGCTTTTAATTACAGCAAAATCAGAATCCCAGACTGGTTTGGGTTGGAAGGGACATTAAAGCTCATCCAGTTCCAATCCCTGCCATGGGCTGGGACACCTTCCATGGGTGTTATTCCATATTCTATAATTTCTATTGCTCGTACAAACCCACACAGCCTGAGATCAAGGCAAGAAGAAACACACGGGCTGTAATTCCCTGTCATTCCCGGTGCAGAGCAGCACAGGCTCCTCCTCTGCAATTAGTGGGGGCAGCACTCGTTAATTAAGGCTTTGTGTTTGTGCTCCACGTGATCCAAAGTCGTTTTTCCTCCCGGTAGCTTCTCCTGGGGTTTGCAGAAGGATGAGCGTGGTTTTTAAAGTTAATAATAAACGGGGTGGGCATCACTTAGGGGACTTTGCAGCACTGCACAAAATGTACCTGTGGAATAGCAATGCGGCTTCCTCCTCTTCCCTAAGGAAAGTGCAAAAACAAGACAAAAATAAAAAATGAGGGAAGAAATAAGGATGTGGAGATGAGCAGAGCTGAAGGAACAGCTGCATTGCTCAGCCAGGCACTGCCACCCTCACAGCTTCTCCCCAAACTTGTGCCACAGGGATCAGTTTGAGTGGGAATCTCAGGGAATAAGGAGAGCTGGCTTCTTCCAGGGAGCTTTTCCCAAGTCACAGATGGGTTGTGCCCATCTTCTGTCTGAAATATGCATTTATGGAGCTGGAGGAGATGAGGCAAAGATGTCAGAAGAAAATCAACAGAGAATGAGGCTACGGTGTGAAGCTTAGAAAATGCACTTTGAGTACATCTGAAGAAGCTGAATGCATAAAAACCCACCCAGATCAGAGATGAATTTGACTTGAAGGGGCAATTCCACCTCGGGAAGGGAAGGGAAGGGAAGGGAAGGGAAGGGAAGGGAAGGGAAGGCTGGCACAATGCTGGACATGTCCTGTCCAAGGCCACCAAGGCAATGTCCCATCCTTGACTGAACAGCTGAGTACTGCCCACAGCATCTTCAGGATACCCGTTTTTTTATGTCCTTTGAAGTCACATTTATTTCAGAATTTCCCTTGTACTACAGGAATCTGTAACTCTTTTGGTCTTGCTCTGAGTTCCCTACATTGGCATTGATTCTGCCATTCACTCTCACCCTGCTGGACAGGCTTTGTGCTGTGAAAATTTAGAAAAGTGATTTTCTAAATTTATTTTGCAATTTGCAGATCAGTTTGAAGTTCCTCAGCTTACAGGAACAAGCAAGCTAAATTGTAGGTCTGGTCTGTTCCCCACCAAGCAATTCCTGTAATCTCATTTTTATTACTCACTCCCCACTTAGGAAGTGTTTAACAGGCAGATAAAATCTAGCACAATAAATCCCTATCAACAAAACAACGAAATCTTGTGTGATGCAGATGAAAATGACATTCTGGGGGGAGATGTTTGAGAAAAGAGCAATTTCTTGTGCTATTTTTACTGGAAGAAGGTGGGAGGGGGCATTACCAGACACCCACACTGAGTGGCAGAGGGGCTGTTGCAATGCCTTGTGTACAAGTGTCATCAAGAGAATGCTGCCAAAAATACCCTGAGAGGATGAGTTTAGAAACAATTCCACCCCCAGCACCTGCCCAAACACTGGGTGCTATAATTTGGGAGGCAGAGAGCCCAAGGAATGTGCAGAGGGTGCCAAGGGCAGCTGAAACACCGCAGGAATTCAGCCTTTGGAGTTTGTTTTCCTCACTTGAGGGATAGTCAAGAAAGAGCTCTCTCAAAAAGAGCCTCAGGGAGAACAGATCCTGCCTGTATTTTAGAATTTTGACTGTCACAAATAGGTTGTGAAGTATTTTCCCAGAGAGGAGAAACACACAAGGAGCTTAATCCAGGGAATGTGAGGCTGCTGAGAGGAACAAAGCAGAGCTGGGCAGGGGCTCCTGTGGACTTCAGCCCTTGGGACTCTCCTCATCCCCAGGGGATTTTTAAGTGAGTTTTGCTCTCCTGAGCTGGTGTCAGGGTCCTTGTGAGGAATTACACATCTCTGTGTAAACTGGGATAGGGAACTGCCAGGGAGGGGCT